TTGGCAACAAACTCCCCTTGCACCTATGCCCACATTGGGGCATAGCTATGGAGGATGGATGAGAAGGAAAATAGCTCTGGAAAATGCATGGGAAGAAACCTGTTAAATGTTTCCTTGTAGGAAAAGCTCCAAGTGTTACCATCCTCCTTCTCTGCACTTAAATTCTTCCCGTGTTTTAAATGTCAAGCATACCACCAAACACTGATAGTGATATCTACACAAGGGCACAAGAAACATCTGTGATGAATGTAAAAAAAATCTTCATATTCTATCTGTGACTTGTCCACCCACCTATATGATGGTACTAGAGACCACAGAAAGCTTTTTTCCATGTCTGTCAAGTCTCTAATGCTCCTGTCTACAACGCCTGGCTCTGAAAGAGCTTCTTTTACTGTTTCACATTAACTGACGTGTAACCCAAGTATTCTTGTAAGAAAACAGCAGGCTTTGTCAGCAGCCAATTTTCAAGGAAACTGGCTGTTTAAAATGACATTCTAAGTAACTGGCCATACATATTTGCCTTAGCTGACCTATATTGAAATTTACTTTCTACCATGTCTTTGTTTCTGTAGTCTTTATCTTTAAATAATCAGCTGTTTTGTTTACTAGATGTTGGTCATGGCTACTGTATTTCCACTACACTAGCTCCACTCAGGGGAAAGTAATAGCTCTAGACTGAAGCATAAGCCATTTGTTTTCCTATAATGAGGAACACTCTGCTGCATGCTTTCTAACTGATTAGATGAATTATGCTTTATTTGCTTTGAGAATAACCATACTTAAAAGCAGCTTTCTGAAGAGGAAATGAAGCAGAGAGAGCACAAGGGACAAAAAGGGTCTGTCCCCATTAATGCTGCTTGAGCTGCATTTTCACACATTTCTTGACTGAGCAATCCTGATGCTTATTGCTGGAAATGTACCAGGCTAAGCATTAATTGCAGGCTAATTACTTTATGTCAAGAAGCTACCCAGTTATTTTTCAGTTTTACTACAATGGTAATTCTAAAAGTAGCTATGTACCTTCCTTTCTTCAAGACTTTATTGGAGGATTTTATCAGTGGCGAACTCATCTGGGATAAGCCCTTTTATCAGAATAAAACTGCAGAGATCAGGTGTTTTTTAAAGAGTTATTTTCCTGATTTGGTACCTCAGTTTAGATTTGTGCTGGTTGCTCATGTCCATTTATGATACTGCCATTTAAATCACAGAGGGATGGATATACACACTAGGGTGTTACTTTGTGTATCTAAATATAAGCTGTTCCCTAGCATTTCACACCAATTCTCTGTACAGAAGAGGGATTTCCAACACCTCATTTTTAAAGTGATCCTACACACCCAATGAACACCTTTTTTCTTTGAAGGAATTGTTGCCACAATGTTTTACCCCTTGGCCCATATGTTGCTTAAAATAAATGATATTTCTTTACAGAAGCAATTCATGCTTACATTGTCCCCAGTTACAGTGATCAATCCTTTCCATTTCTTTATCTGAAAAAACAGAAGCTTTTTGACTGTTTTCTTTTAATTGAACTCTCCTAACCTTTATCTACTCAGTAGTTCCTCATATATGTGATGCATTTTGTGGGAATTCTCTGATTTCTCTCCATTTAAAATGTTCTCATACAGCAATACTTCGGAATGTGCATACTATGATGTAAATTACCATCTTTTGCTAATCCTCCTACAGAAGCACCTATTAAACACACCTGGCCCCACTTTACACCAGAGAGGACCATTTTTTATTGGTCTTACAAAAAGAAAAGCTGGCAACATCTGGTGTAATTTGTATGCCTTGAGTGATCGTTGGGTTTGTACCACAAGTGGAAAAAAGGTTTCCCTTTTAGGCCACACTTGAAAACTTGATTCTTTCTGAGTCAGTCACTGAAGTGTCTGGCCCTGATCTGGCAGAGGCAGAGGCGTGAGTGCTGTTGCTGAAGGGTCAGCTTGTTGCAGAAAGGCCCCACAGCAAGTTACAGACTCTGCTGATGATGTGATGAAGAGCAGTAGTCCACCTTCACCATGGCTCGCATTGCTGGATCGTGTTGGTTCAGCACTTTGGAAGATGAACCCTCCACATCAAGGGGGAGCACAAGAAATAGCATTAGGTAGCATCACCAAGCAAACAGGAAAACTGCTTTCCCTCCTACCTGCGTTTCTCAGTGAAGCGACGTCCTGCACAGTGCCTATTGCAGTAATTTTTTTTTAAGGGCTGAGGACTTACATGTCAAAAAAAGGAAGGACTACCCAGTCCTCTTTGAAAGGCAGTTATAAGACCAAACTCATGCAAGTTCCTTTTTAAAGTAGATCATGGATTAGGCACTCTACTTTTCATTATGCTGTATTTGCTTCACTGAAAATGTCTCCTGAGGAAGAAGCAAAGCCTTTGGCATTTTACATTGTTCAGTGGTTCCTTTATTTTTCAGCTACCCTGTTCCACAGATGTGCAATTTTCCCTTTCTTTGATGTTTTTGCATCTTTGTGTATCTTTGAAAAAATTCTGATTGGAAGACTGATAGGCAGATATCCCTGAAATATTACATGCTTTAAGGCAAGAACAGAGAACACAAAGAGTTACAGATGCCCTTTTGCAAGGGAGGTCAAAGCTTAAGTGGCCAGGAGTATGGGAAGAGATGCCCATCAAACACACTCAAATATAATGTTCTAGACATCCTGTTTTCATAATAAGTGCTTGACATTGTAAACTGAACTCACAGAGATTAGGTTATTATTATAAATGGGAATTGCCTAATTATAAAATGAGAAAAAATTCAGAAAATTTCAGAGTGAAATTCTCACCTTGGTTGAGGGGTGAGAAGCACAGCCTATGCAGAATTTGCATTTGAGGATTAAAATGAGAAAAGCAACTGTTAAGTTCCTTTATTCTGTTTTGGTCAAGGCAGCAGTGTTACCCCTGGAATGCAGTAGGATGCTCAAAAAGACACTGAAAGCAGGATATTTTATTACTAATTTCCCTCAGTTTGGTTAACATTGGACATGGTTAATCAACTTGAAATCAAACATCTTTCTCTTCGCTATAACTCTGTGGCAATTCATGTGTCACTTCTGGAGTATTGCTGGCTTGGCCAGGGTTTTAATGTGGTTCCAACAGTGCAGCATGCCAGCCCACTTCTATCCAGTGAAAGTATTTTGTGTTGGCAGACAGCTTCTAAAAAGAAAAGATAGAACCATCCTTAAGCCTCATGCAGTTATTGGAGATTTATTATCTATGCTCTGTGTGAGTTAATTGGAATTTAGAGGCACAGTTATTGTTTACCTGCAGACTCGGCATTATCTTTATGTTGAGCACTCCTTGAGCTATAGGAAACAGTATAGAAAAAGCTGCATTTGTTATGTCTTTAAATCTTCTTGCACTTTCCTATAAAGTAATGACAAGTCTGAAATCTTCAGATGCCATAAAAGAGGCGGCAGACTTTGATTAAATAGCTGCTCCTGTTATCTGATTTAATGGTGACGATGAACTGAATGTTCTTGTGATCCAGAAGGTTTCCAAAGCAGTATGCTGATCTGTGAGCTTGCATTTAGAAATTGCCTTCATCCTTCAGAGGAATGCAGTGAATCATTGGAGGGGGTGAAAACCTACAGCTGTTGAGTGGTGTGTGGTAGTAGGCAATACCTAGTAGAAGGCATCGAAATATTGAAGGAGTTATTATCTGCAGTGGGAACGTCAGGAGAAGATGGCATGTAGGCAGAATATAACTGTCCAACTTTGAGCAAGGCTGCAGAAACACTACTCTTCTTTTTATACACCGTGACTGAAGTGGAGAAAGGGCTGATTCACTCTTTCTCCACTTTTGCATTATTTATGCCAAAGTAAAACAAGTATAAAATAACTCCAATTGGGTGGAGTTTTACACTCTCTTTGCAACAGAAAAAACAAATGTAGAGTTGTTCCTAAAACTCTTAAAAGTTAGCTCTGGTCTTACATGGGTTCTCTGAGAAACCTTTGCATTCTGTGTCTCAATAGGATTTGCTCATGTGCAGTCTTTCATGAGATGATGCATATCTGGACAGCCACTCTACCATCCTTTTGTTACAAGAGAAGCTTTTCACAGACACCGATGCTGCTAGTTCCCGGTTCTGAACATAAGTCATTGGGAATTGGGTTCCTACATCCCAGCTGGCTCTCACCAGCATCTTTGTCCATGATTAGCTTTCTCTCTCTAGAAATCTATTCTCTAGCCCAGATGACATTGCTGAAATATGCATGTAGTAGAGTGCAGCTGAGAGAAATTAAATGACATTTTCATGTCCTAATTTTTGTTAACTTGCTCAAGTTTCAGACTTATGAAGGATGTGCAGCTGTGTGTTAAAGAAAAATGCACAAAGTACGAATGTACACAGTGTGTGTAGTGGGGAAGGCTGGTGATTTTCTTATCACTTCTTTGTCCCATAGAGATTTATCTAGATTTGGTTGTCAGATAAGCAGAAATCGCTAAGGCAATCCCTTAGTCAAACAAGAAACTACTGTTGTTAGTATCAATTTAATCTTTCATATGTCTTTTTCTTTTAGTATGTTTATGTCACACAATTTCCACTCTTACATAAGCACTGGGCAAAAAAAGACAGAACAATCGCTAGGAAAACAGGAGGCCATGATAGTAAAGAGATTTACAAACTTGGTGTTACTGGTGAGTAAGCTACAGAACAGAGGAAACAACCAAAAAACACAGAGCTCCTGAAAAGCCAGCTGGCCCATCCTCCTGCCTCAAGGCAGGTTCAGCTACTTCCTGCCTTTCCTGGCAATGCTTATCCAAACAGTTCTTAAATGGGTCCAAAGGCAGTGGCACACAGCATCTACCAGCAGGCTGTCCCAGTGCTTAGTCAGTAGGCTAGGTACCTTTGAAGTGTGGTTGTCCTTTGAAATCTAGTTTATACCTCTTCAGATCCCACAGCCTCTCTATTCTATTTTTTCTTACTACCCTTCTTATTGTCACATTTCCTCCAAAAGAGAGGAGCTTTTCGGACTTAACTGTTACTATTATTTCAGTTGAAGCTGCTCAAATACAATAATGCTGGCCAGCAATACAAACCCCTTAGGACAGATGCTTCTAAAACTTAAGATGATTTTTTCAAATCCTACTCCAGCAAACTCACATAGTGTTTTGAAATTCAGGCTTCATCTTTGCATGTGAGATTTACCAAATGAAAGATCTCCAGGTGGAACCTGCAGTAACTGTCTGCTTTCATGGTGCGAGTAGAACTCCACCCAGACCTGCTATACTGTTATCAATTACTCTGAGCTACTCACAGAGTAAAAATGGCAACTGAGGAAACCGCTGTTTTCACATAGGCACCTTTCAGGTGATTACAGTATTGATTTCCTTTTCCTTTCAGAAGGTTTGTGCATAGTTGTCTTACTGTTCAGAGTAGCTGCTGTCTCGCATCTTAGGCAAAACAGGATGCCACATACTGGTTTTGGACAACTCATCAGACAGAACAGTATATGGAAATGTAAGGATCTTTTTAGTGTACACATGCATAGTCTTGTCTTTCTGCAGAAAACTGAGCAGAAAACATGTATTGGAAAGAGCTATGGGTCATAGTCATAGGAAAAATGGGCTGGAAGACAGTGTGAGAGGCCAACTAGATGCACACTTGTCCAGTCATTCAAAACTTATCAGTGCGGGTTGTTGAGGTTCCCCATCTTTCCATCGCAAAGACAGCTCCCCACAGGACTCATCTGACCTGAACGAAGAGTGACAGTAGACAAGAAGCAGCAAAGGAAGAGGAGGAGCCAGAATCAGCCCTGCTCTCCTTCTCTCCTGAAGTCCTTTGTAGAACCATCAAGGAAATTGCTTGAGTATAACACTTCATAGTCTTTCCCACTCCATTCTTTGCTCTACTCCTCTTTAGCTCCTTTGAGGTCAAATAGCAAGTGCTTGCAGGAGATGTGGAGATACAGGAATTTCAGTAGCTGCTCCAGCAAGTGAGTGGTGCAGAGGAGATTCATTCATCTCTTCAGGGCAATGCATTACTACCTATATTTTTGTTCTGTGTCCTCTGTGAGGTTTTCTCATGGGAGGGAACAAGTGAGTTAACTATTTTGTCTTCTCACCTGTGTCCTCCCTCTGAAAGAAGCAGGCATTCTCTGATGTGCCAGTTCCATTGATTGATGTAATCAGACTGGCTACTAATCAAAGTTATCTCAGTAGCTTAATTCTGTACCTGATCTTTCCTCTGTTTGTGCTTCAAGGTCTTTGACAGGGTCCGAGAAGATTGCCCTAATTTCCACGAGAAGATTAAGCCTATTAATGCTGAACTCACTCAGCCCAAGCTGGCCATCAGTGCTGAAGATGAGGAGGAGCTTCTGACCCGGGTCAATGTTGTCTTCCACTGTGCAGCAACAGTTCGCTTTGATGAACCCCTGAAGTATGTCCTGCTTTCTGCTTTCTGTATTTGCTAAGCATGATTCAGAACGCACAGTAGCCCATAACACACAATTCTGTGCCTCACTTGCAGAGCTGTGGTAATCATTCTCCATTTACGTTTTCATGCTACATGTGGTTCTGCGCTGAATGTGCAATGTTAATGCTCTGATAATGTCATGTGCATATGCGCATCAAAAGTGAAGTATCTTGGCAGATTTCCATGGGAACAGAAGGAAGTACTATGAGGTTGTGATATAGTGAAGGAGTAAAGTATGACCTAAAACTGGGATAGGGAAAAGTGTGGTTTAGGTCAAGAGGGAGATGTTTTGGCAGAACCAGCTGGAGACAGCTTGAAGAGAAACTATGTTGTGTCTGTCACTAAAGCTAGTGTTAATGGCCTTTCTTTGTCACCAGTTTAACTGAAGAGGGAAATGAGATGCTGTTTAAGAAAACAGCCTATCATAAGCTTTAAAATACACAAGACTCAGTGTAATTAACTATTTAAAATAAATGCTCAATTTCTGAAGGAGCTGCCTTGGGAGTATCTGTCCAGGGAGGCTTTCCATTAAGAAAGAATAGCAGAAATAAGCTCCTAAACCAAGAATGGATTTGCAAGTGCTTCTATGCAAATCCTAAAGGTCAACAAACCAAGGTAGATTATCTGGATTGCCATATCTTCAGAGTTATGCTAATGCTAAAGCTATGAGAATACAAAACACAATTATTAATGTCAGTCTTCATTTGCTTGTACATAGGCTAAAGAGCTATTCACTGTGTCCACCATAAATCATGCTTTTTGCAACAACTGATTAGAGAACCTGCCAGAAAGGAAGCAGCTCTTGATTTAATCTTGAGCCATACGTAGAACATGGCTCAAGATCGAAGTAGCAAAGCATTGCACTACACTAATAGCCATGATTGTTCTTAAATCAATGCACAAATGAACATGCTATAAAAATACATCCCAGTTGCATGTAACATCAAAGGGAGACTACATTTTTAATTAGGAGGATGGCTACAAAATTAAAAAGAAAAAGTTAAAATGGTCATCTGCTTGCAGGCAGTGTAGAAACTATTTAAAGGCTGATTGCATATGGTCAAAATCTCTCTAACAGAACATGGAAAATCCTGTATGATTAAATGGCAAAATACGAGAAGTTGTGAAAATCAAATTATTCCTGTCTGAATGTGAAAATATATTGTATGGCTAAAAGTTCTAGCAAGTTAAATGTGAAAGCAGAATACTGCGGAATTTTGAGCACAGCAGAAGCCCAAAGCCTACCACAGAATATGTAGAGCTGATAGATAAGGGAAGTGCAAAAGCCGTGCTATCAAGATATTGGAAAAGTAGCAACAGAGAAACTAAATAAATTACTGGCATCAACATGGAGTACATTTAGGGAATTCTCCAGATGGAACTCTTGAGGGCAGAAATCTGAGAATCTGTATTATATTTAAATATTTGTAGATGCATTTTTAATATAAATAGAAAAAAATAAAAGTAATGAATCACTAGGGTTAGATGATATTCCCCTAGAAGGCTAAAGGAACTCTGAACCTCTCAGCAGAAATCTATGCTGGGTCTGTATTCTGAACACAGCTCTGTTCGCTCCATCTCAGAAGGGATACAAATGAATAGAAACATACATTGAAGAGCAACTTTCATATGAAGAGAAGCTAAAGTACAAGTATTCATCCTGCTAGAAGGGCAGGAGGAAATAGAAATCTACAGAAAACGGTCTTCTTTAATAGCAGCATGCTTAAAAAAAAAATCAGTATCTCTGGCTTTAGATCTTGTGATCCAAACATTAATCATACTCTTAGCTTCTGTTTTCATTCATCTGGACTATTTACAATTTCTCTTCAATGTTGGTGTAATTAATTTCTTTAGCATACACTGTACATGATAGCATTATTCATAATCTCATATGTGTTGTTGAAAGCTGCTTCTCCTGGGCTGAACAGATTGCATATTCCTTAGCCTTTTCCCTTCTGTGCAGGGAAGTATCTTTCTTCCAGTACGAAGCATGCAAAAACATTGAACGTCTGTTCAGTGAGATCCATTGCAGATAGTCTCTAGGACATCTTCTAGCTTCAAGGTCAACTGGGTGCTTCAAGGTCAACCTTGCTAACCAGGACTCTCTCTCATGCTTATCAGTTCTCTTCTCCATTCCTTGAGAATTTAAGCCGTTACCTCTAATTGTGTCTTCTTTCAGTATGAATCTGTTTTTCTGAGTCCAAGAACCCTTTGCTGCTTACTGAAACCATGTGTTTATCTGCTTTAGCAGTGGTCTCTTAAGAAGAAATTTCAATGAGGACTGTAGGAACATAATGCCTCAGCGGTCTTGTGTTTTGGAAATACTTGTTGGGATGGGGTGGGGTGACATATATGTCAGATGTAGAGGTGTTAGTGAAATGTTACCCTTCATCCTTTGAATTGCATAAAAATATTTGAGAGACATTCTGTGGCCAGAACATCAAATCCAACAGCATTTCTCTGAAAGCTGGTTTAGCCTTTGCATTTCATTGAAGTTCTCTGCTTTGCTGTGAACCCTTCTCTTTCCTTACTTTCCTTTTTTTTTAATTTGGGGTTTGAATAATGCTTAGCTTTGATATATTCTTTCCAGTGAAATGCATTTTGTTTCTTTCCCCTGCCCTTTTTAGGCATGCCCTGCAACTGAATGCAATGGGCACGCAGCGGCTTCTAGAGCTGGCCCGGCAGATGCAGAAACTCGAGGCCTTCATACACATCTCCACTGCCTATGCAAACTGTGTCCGGAAATGCATAGATGAAGTCATCTACCCACCCCCAGCTGAACCCAAGAAGCTCTTTGATTTAGTGGAGTAAGTAAGAACTGCATCACCTCTTCTGACATTGGTTTTGCTTCATTCTGCAGAAGACCTCTGAATTGTTCACGTAACCTATCTGTTCGTAGTCGATGTTATTGCTGTATGGCCTTGTCTGCACACACCCCTGCCAGCAAGAAATGCTGGTCGTGAGAGGGAGACCAAGGGAAGAGAGAGCTTTTGTTCAAGGTGGTTTTGAGGTATACTGTCTACAGAATGTCATCCAATAAGTCTGTCCTGTCTGGATTTTATCTTGAAACTGGCTTTACTGAGGTTTTTTTTTTAATATAAAGCTTTTGCATCTGGAGAGGTGCTGTAGTCACACTTTATAAACGTTTGATTGATTTTAAGAATATTTTTCCAAATACTAAAATATTAGAAAATAGCATAAAAGACACTTAATAACCCTGTGATTTCAGCTATATCTAAATTTTTTTCATACATTATTTTTAAAAAGACTGTGATTTCATGACAAGTGTATTTGCTATGAGCTGTGTTGCTGCTTTCTGTTGGACTCAGCTCTGGTGCTATGTTAGTAAGAACTGAAATTTTTTCTATACCTTATTTTCATTTCTTTATCTCTTAAGCTTCGCAAGGTTGTTTCCACTCATTTCAACAAACCTATTGTATTAAACCAGAGTTATATGGGAATGAGTCAGAAACAGACTATTTTAGGAAGTTCAGTGTGAGAATCCAGGACTTGGAGGTAACAAAGCAGCTTGTTTAACTGAATTTACTAAATGAACAATAAGTAGAAAGAATAACAGAATCTTCTGATAAAGGCCCCAGAAAACCCACAGCTGTAACTTTGTTCTCATTCATTTTCTAGTGGTATTCCACTTGTGCGATATAAGCAACAGACCTATGAACTGGTTACCCAATGAGCTGGTATAAAATCTTTCTTCACCTTGATTTAGGGTAATAGTATATAAGATTAATTCATGTCCACTAGGAGAACCACTGATGTTTTTATTTCAAACATTTTTTGTCAAAAGAAATAATTTCACCATCTAAGCACTACTTCAGAAAATTTAGTACAAATCAGAGTTTTCTATTTGAATTTCTCCAGTAGCCCTTATTCTTGGATATGTTTACTTCCAGCTAGTAGTCATCTATCATTTTTCATTTATTCAGCAAGAGATAAAAACGTAAGAAATGCCCCAGTGCATTAGAGCAACGGACTGCCTGGTCCAATATCTTGCCCTCAAGAGTGGCACTGGAAGATGCTGTTTAGAGTAATTACACCAGCCTGGATACTTTTTGCAATCTGTTCCTCTTGTAGCCTCCCAGAAAGGGAGTACGAGGGGTGTTACCTTCTGTTCTTTTTGAATCTGTTTTTGAATCCTCTAATTTGTTTAATCTCTTTTTGAGCTTTCTGGTACTCTGCCTCTGCAACTCCCAGTGACAGCAGGTTCCAGAAGTTGACTAACTGCCTGCTGTGTAAAGACAAGCTTCCTTTTACCTGTTTCAAACTGTCATGCTAGTAGTTTCATTGCACGTCCCATAGTTGCAGCATTGCTGTATCTGTAGCATTTGCACTATTCACTGCCTTTGCAGTTCTGTAAATCTGTGTTGCATTTACCCTGGACCTTCTCTTCTGCAGGCTAAAGCCTTTTTATTTCTCGTACGTCAACAGATCTGTCTCCTTGATAATTTTAGCTGCCTTCCCTCTCTCCCTTTTTTTGACTCCACTCATTCCTTTGATGCAGGGGCCAGACAGAGCTGCATGCAGTACTCAAAGTGTAGTCAGGTGGGCCTTGTTGAAAATTAGTCTTCAGGGTCATTGGTTTGGAAGGCGTTCTGCAAATCAAAGGCAATATATGAAGAAAATGCACGGGGCTGCAGTGTGTGGAGGAGTAGAATGGGTAAAGTCCTTGTGATGTTGAGGAGACATAATACAGGTAGAACGGGATAGAGAAAACTCTGAGAGACTGTGAAGGGGATTACTTGGAGAGACAGAAAAGAGTTGGAAGGAGATTAGAGAGATGCACTTTTTATTATTCACCATGAAAGTGGAAGAAATAATACATGGATATCTGGGTACAGAAGGTTACAGGAAAACGAAATTAACAGATATCAGAATGTTACCTTCAAAAAGATAGGAGAGGAAAAAAAAAAGGAGATGAGGAAATATAAACAACCCGTGTCTTAAAGTGCTCTTCAGCAAGTATATTAAGAGGCACGATCACACAACTGGATGCAATAACAGATTCATTTAATGATGCTTTTGGCCATGCAGTTGATGTGTGTTCATGATCCTTTATTCAGCTGAAATCACAAGTAGGACTCTCAGCTGTTTCTTTTTCTGTTCTTATCCTCCTATTACATCCCTGCCTTCCAGTATTTTGATATTTAACCTCTAAGTAAAGCCTTAGGCCTACCTAATCTGTGTAAACTGAAAGTCACACTTCTAAGTGCTGCCAGGCCAATAGAGGAAACATATAATCTGCCGCATCAAGCAAGGTTTGCCTTAATCTAAAGCTGAGGGAAATCAGCTTTGAAGGGTGTGCTGAGGTAAGGAACACAGTGCCCAGTGAAGTGTGGGTTGAAGCAGAACTGTTTTCATTATTGCAGAAAATGTAGATCTTTCATCACTTACAAGAAAGGAAGCATCTTATTAATGCAAAGTGATTAACACCGAAAGTTATGTTTTCCTATGGCAGAGTAATTTGGTGCATATATGTTGTGAAAGAGGAGGTTACTGATTGTTTAATTTGCATCTCTTGTTTCTACAGGGCAATTGCACCAGTAAGCAAAAGCAGTAGCTTTGTGATTTAGCCTTTCAAAAATCTTCAAAATAGGTCACAGAGGAATAGGAACAGTTTGCTTCGCTGAACTGTCAGCTAAGCACTCCTGTGATGGTAATGCTGGTAGATCAAATCACCTGATAGGATGGTACACTTGAGACAGGCAGGAGTGTGGTCCTCCTGATGACCACTTAAAGTAATGCAGAGAGGCCTGTCTGGAAGGATGAAGGCAAGCGGAAGAAAAAAAAAAAAAGAGGAGAAACTTGTATGCAGCTTAATCTGAGTTCCCAAATGAACTTAGTCTTCCTCCAGACTTTGTGAAAATAGACATCTCCTCTTGGTAGGCTGATAATTAATTACTCAACAGATTCAAACAATGGCAATTTCTCTGAGACCCTGAGGAGGCTGGGTTCAATGGCTGCCTGAACAGGCTTTGTACATTAAGTCAATATTGTGTGCTGCTTAATAGCCTCTGCTTAGTTCAACTTCATATTTTCTGCCTTGTTGCTGAAATGTTAGACTAAGATTGCAAAGGAAAGTATGTGTGCCTCCGTAAAGATTATTTTATTAAAAAAAAAATAATAATTTCTATATACTACAAACAGTCATATTCTTTTTAACTCATTTCAAAACTGAGAGATTCACTGAGTTCAACCCTTCCCTGCAAACAGTTTTGCAGTTTTAGTGAATCAGTGTTTTCTCATACAACAGTTTTCCTGTAAAATTTCCATCTGTGTCTGATGAGAGTCATCTATAAAACAGTGTGCCACCTGAGCCATCAAGTGTTTGCGTGTTTAAGTTGATGTGATCAAGTAATTCCCCAGATGTGACAGTCTCCACCTTATTGCTGTCCCGTTAACCTTCACCCGTTTCAGAAATGCAAGGTAAGGAAGGGTGAAGTGAGGATCTGCAGGAAACAGTACCCTTGCAGTGCCCCTGGGAGGAACACACCAGTTCAGTCTGAACTGTAAGTCCATTGACTTAATTACAAATTGGATTATAGGAGTTAATCTTTGATTCTATGGTGTAACACCAGACTGCTGAAAGCCTGTCAGGGATTGGCAGTGGTGTGCAAGGGCTCTGGAAGTACAGCCAGTTCCTGTCCTTTAGACCCAAATGCTGGCAGGACCAGTGATGTCTTGATGGTGTGCCAGGGAAGAGCCTTTGAGACAGGCCCTCACTGCAGCACCGTGGTGCTAAGGGCCACTTTTTTAAGGGTGTATATGCAACCACTTCTGATAGATTAGATACTTGAATACCTTAAATTAAATACTTGGTGGATTATTTTTTTTAAAGTAACTAATACTGACAGTTTCTTAAATTCCTATGTGAACAAGCCAGTGGAAAACCAGTAAGGAGGAGCATTTAAAATTGTAAATTGTGCCACTGGAATAATAGCTCTGTAGTATGTTGTTCTAGCTTTTGAGACCTTTGTACTGCTACTCAATTCAGTAACTGAAGGTTTACCAAGAATCTCCTGAAATGTACTTTGTCGTACATAGGGACTGTGTTGGCTGTGGATGAGCACTACGAAGTAAGCATGCTAGGTTGGGAAGCTCCATCAATCTGTAGACCATGGCTAAATCTATGTTAAAGATTGCAGTGAAGCAAAGAGATTGTTTTAGAATGAGATTGTACAGATACCTGAAGCTGAGCTAGACATCACAGCATGAAGCTCACCAGGGCTATTTTTCACTTTGAAGACAAAAGTAACCTTTCTTCCACAGAGCTGTTCTAAATGCAAACCAGTTGCTCCTTGCTTTGTCTTAAATGGCTTTGACTTTCTTATCCTTTGTTTCAGGTGAGAATTCCTGTCTCACTGGTCCTTTTTTGCCACAGTCTTTTTTCTCTCTGCATGGCAGATAATTACGTTCTCCTTGTTTTCTGTAGGTGGTTGGATGAATCTATCATTCAAGACATCACACCCAAGCTGCTTGGGGACTGGCCCAACACTTACACCTACACCAAAGCCTTGTCAGAATACCTGATTCAGCAAGAGAAAGGAAACCTGAACATTGCTATCATCAGGCCATCCATCGTGGGAGCCAGCTGGCATGAGCCTTTCCCAGTAAGCATGAATACATAGCAATTCCCTACTGAAAGCCCTTTGATACAGCAGTAGCTGCAGTACTGTCAGAAATCTATCCCTACTTGTAGCAGTGTCTGCTTGAGGAACAAGTGCCTCAGTTCATAGGAAAGTGCATGAAAGAGGTGGAGGACCTTGCTGGAGTAGGACAGCAAGCCTTCTGTAGCATCTTCAGGAAAGACTTTTGCCTGCAAGTGAAAAGAACACATTTAAACAATAATAATAAGAGCTGGGACAATAATAGTACAAAATGCTGGACTGGCAGCCAACAGTCTTACACACAGAGGATCGTGCTCAAACAGATACACAGGGAAGTTTCTGTACTACCTGGAGCAACATGAGATCTGAGAGTTGGTCACAGTCCTGATGCATTCTGGTTCCAAGTCTTTCCATGGTTGTCAGCTTATTAATGAGGTCCTGATGAGCACCTGAGACCTCATGTGGTCCTTGAAAGCATTTGGTAATGCCATATGCACCTAGTATCTTTGTCTTACATTGATAGTTGCTGAATTCACTGGATTCGCACTTGTATAGGCCTGTTGCAGATACAACTTTCAGCCATGCAGTAATTAAATACAGCTGTACTTTTGGACTGAAATAGTTCACTAAGCTAAATATAAGAGTAGGAATAATGTGCCCTAACACTGTGGCCAAATTGGAAAGGCAACATAAAAGTCACCTTTGGCTTTCATGCAGCTCGAAGCCTGCCAAAGATGGCTGAAATATAGCCGAGGCTCTGGGCCAGGCTCCCCATCTTGGAAAAACAGGGTGAACTCTGTTAGGTGCCATAACCCGTTCTGGGTCAGACAGCTCATCACTGCTCTTAACTCCAGCTCCTACAAGTGGCAGTTTCCCTGACCTGAAGTAGGATGGGATTCAAAAATGGAGTAGTGTTTTTTTCTTCCTTGACTTAGAAATTAGCTGGAGTAATCAGATCAGTTTCAGTGACATCTGTATGTGATGTATCGGAGGGTATATAACATGCTGACTGTTTTCAGCAAGTGTAGTGTTTAAAGCCAGAGTTTACTCCTGTAGCCAAGTTATTATAAGACAGAAGTGGTTTCTAAAAGCAAAACTAGATTCTGTTGTTGATGGGTAAATTGCAGACAGAATTAGGTATCATACAATGCATCCCTTATTTAAAATCAATTCGGTACTTCGTACTGGTTAGCTTCCTGGCAGCTGTCCCAGATAGGCTGGCATCCACCTTAACTGGTGTCTCGTTGCTTCATTGTCTACAGCACAGCGTTGTTGCCCTTTCACCACTGCAAAGCCTGCATAAGCAACATATCAGTGAAAGAAATAGTAATCATTCTTCTTTTTTTGCAGGGTTGGATTGACAGCTTCAATGGGACAAGTGGAATATTTGTTGCGGTATGTCTAGTTACTATTTAAGCTCCCCTTAAGTGGACTTAGAGTTTCTAAAATAGCAACTCTAAAGTTGCTTTAAAGTGACTCTGCCAGTCACATGGATAATTCACTATATTCTTGCTTAACACTGGTGTAAATAACTACTGTGCAAAATGGCAAGGAACAAACCCGTAAAATAAATAATGAATAATGATAAAATATTCCTGGTAATATGAAAACAATCGTTAAAGTTTAACATATAAAACCAGTAATGTTGCATACTTTTTCTCCTGACTTATACTACTTTTTCTTTTCTGAACTATAATCATTGCCTTAGGTCTATTTGTCAATGTCTAATGCTATAGAGCTGTGGGCAGATATTTTTGTTCATCTATGATTTGCCCAACTTGATTGCTTTGTAAAAATTATATTGTAATCAGCCTGCTGCAGTGTATAAAAGGATTAGCAGTCTACAATCGTAGGAGGGCAGAATAAAATCCAAGTATCATCTTGTTAAAAAAGCTCATTTGTACCTGAAGTACAGCATAAATAGACACTGTTACAGTTACTCCTGGAATCCACAGGACTAGTGAAATTAATGGGTATATCCCAGCTAATGCTTTTATCTGAAACCACAGTCCAACATTTCAGAGACATTCAAAAGCTCCCAAACACATCATTTATGTTCACAAAGTGTTATTAGCTCCTGTTCATCTCACAATTTCATTAAAATAATTATCTGTCAGCCTTTTACTTATTGCTGACTGCTAATAATGCTTGTACTGTCTTTCTCTGCTCTACTCACAGCATCTTGTGCCATTTTCTGTGTTCTTTCATGACATCTCGTCATCACGATAAAGCAAGGGTTTGCAGTTCCTTAATTCTGCAGATCCATGACTTACGTTTTCATGTGGCAGACTCTAACTTTTGTAATAATATCTCAGAGTTTTAATTTTTTATTACTACTTTTGAGCATTAAAGATGTCTGTCACAAAAATTTGTCCGCAATTAGTTTGCAAGAAAGATGGTATACAAAAAAGTTCCATTGTAAAACTACACATGAATTACCTAAGTGATAAATTACAGCAGCTGGTTTTCATACACATATCATATGCCAGTACATTATGAAACACAGGCCAGAGTTCATATGCTTTCAGCTCTACAGAAACAGGCTAATCAAATCTTTTGCCATGTAAAAAAAAGGCATTTTTTTAATTCTTTCTTTTTTTTTCTTTTAACTTGACAACAAGTAAAAACCACCTAATGGTTAAGTATTTGGAAAGTTTGCCCATATACCAGTCTTTTTTAATAGTGTCTTCTTGAGGAACATAGACTGGAGCTTGCATATGTTTTATATGCTTATCCTTTGCCACCCATGCAAGTAACTAGTATTTTATTTCTCCGAAGCAAAACTTTCTAGCTGGGTTGAAAGCAACAGCAAACCTTATAGTGGTTTCACTCAGGCCAGGTTTAAGACACAGATGCCAGCCTGTATCTTTAGCTCCAAATTAACTCTATGGAAAGAAAATATTTTTGAGATTCTGAGGCCACTGTATTAAATAATTTTCCTTCCCTTTTGTATGAAATCTCTGACTTGTGCTGAAACAGTTTTGAAATAGAGATGGTATTTTTTTTGGTTCAGGATTGGAGCTCTGAGGTTCTTCAGTATAGGAAACAGAGAGGCAATGAAATTTGTGTTACCTACACTGAGCTCTTCTATGATGAAATATGACTATTTGAAACATAACTATATCAAGACTTTATCAAGAAGAAGACAAAGATCAAAGACAGTAGGTGCAGGGTGTAGAGACGAGGTTGTTGTCTGTGTCCAATGGCTCTCTGGCCCCACAGGGTGTGGACTGGCATCAGACATGAGCAGAGACTTCGTGAAGTGGAGAAGCAAGGGGGGATTGCCAGTGCTGACAGACAGTATTTCTCTTGTACCATCTCCAGTTGCTACTGAACTCAGTCCGATTGGTACTAGTTTTCTGGAAGTGAAAGGTATTTATTACTAGGGAGCCCAAGAGACTTTTGGTCTTCTTGGGAGGGGAGCAGGGGTGGAAATAAAATACATGGTTTGAATTAATGTGCTTGGATATGGTGAATTAGTAAATCCTGTTTGGTAGTTTGAATATTGGCCCTTGAATATGTTAGTTTGATTACATGGAAGTTGTTTGATTACAACCAGCAGTCTCTGCTAACCGTATTTCAAAGTGTATTTATTAGTCAAGTAGCTTTATTAGCCTTAATTAAGAAAAAGCAAAAGGGAAGTGTTTTGGTGTTTGTGTATTTTTTAAAGTCCCCCCCAAGTACCAAAATACTCACTTACCACTTCCAACCCAAGCTCATAATATATGGAGAACAACCCCTGGATTCAGATTTGATTCAGATGGTCTTTGGGATCATCTAGGCAGAATCTGAACTCCAAACCTTTCAAAGATTGTTTTTTTTCCTCAGTCACCCCTATAATATTTTAGACTGATCACCTCATTCCACAAATAGATATATTCCTTTTAAATATGAATGAAATATGGGAGTTCAAGTTGTTCTTGATAGTCTCATTATGTTTCTTTCACCTACAGTTGCTCCAGCTGCTGCAGGGAGAAGCTTTGTTGATTGGAAAACAAAATGAAATTAATCACATTTCTGCTGGACTGTAATTGAGGCATTTTATCTTGCTTTTCCATATTACATGTAAAGACCTTCTTCCCTGCAAGGCAGTTGAGCTGTAGGGCAGAACCATGGTTTAATTCATGTTCTGGACAGTGACTGGCCCCAAAGCACTTCAGCTGGGAGGCTGTCCAGAAACGTCAGCCTGACAAATGATTTCAGAGGCTTCAGCTAAAGTAGCTTCTGTTTCACTACAGAGAAGAAAGTCAGTGACTACAAATAGAAATCAAACCATACCTGATAAAGAAGTGCCAAACCATTTCCAATGTAAAAAAGTAACCTAAAATGCTTAAACCCGAAGTCTTTATTCATATACTGTCTTCACACAGTATATGAAATGTGTAATTCATCCATGTGTATATGACCACCACATGCTGCTCTGAATACAGGCACGTTTCCAGCACATCTATCAAACTGCCTAGATTTGAAGACCTCAAAAAGTCTTTAGTGTACCTGTGAAAATGTGATAGTTGATCACACAGTGGTCTCTAGTGGGCATGTATTCACAGCAGTGAAAAATTGATAGCTAAGCTTGATGTGCAGCTTTGGTTCTTTTTGCTTTTTCCCCCTTGAAAAATCAGTAGTAGGATATTGCAAGTTAAGGTTTTAATGTCTAAGCATAGCTGTAGTTCAGCTTAGGGCAGCAGGTTAACTGCATGCCATGGGTTTGAGGAGGATGGAGTCATGCGGGGAAGCTTACAGCCTGTATTTGGTTGTCTATGATCCCTCTGCCAGCTGCACCAAGAATGAGATGAGACTGCTCAGGAGTCTTAGCTCATGAAAGTTAAATTGGTCATAAGTGGTATTCCCTTACTTGCAAGCTGTGAAACATAACAAAACCATCTGATTATAGAAGGGGAAAGGAGAGAAGAGAGGCAGAACAAAATAACCCAGATAAACACCTCTCAAACAGGGTGGTGGTGTCCCTTAAAATCCACCAATGACCAGTAGACAATGGCATGTGCTTTACAAGTTAATATCAAGTCTTACATGCTTTTTTCATCACATTTCTTCTTCCTAGAGTTCTGGCAAGTATTTTTGCACAACTAGGCACTTCCTATCTAGTTGCTGTAGTAAAACATCATCTTTCACAGCTGGAGAGCTATTTCATTGTGAAATGAGAGTCGCAGGTTGGAAGAAAAGAAAAAAAATGCTATAACATTTCCTTTGTCCTGACTTTTAAATATTCATGGATCTGTAGAGCATATTCCTTTGCCCATTCACTCATTCCTTCCCTCTGATTTTACATGAATCTAAATGACAAGAGCTTTTTTACTTCTCTGTTTCAGTAGCACTTTTATCCTCCCAGCTCTTTCACTGGGTCCTCAGCCTCTACTTCAATCTCAAATTCATCACATTTTATTTTCCACATACTAGATAACCTTTACCACTCTGCCATTTGAAGTTTCTTCCCCCGCCCCTCCCCCTACCCTGTTCAGCCCCTCATACCTGACTCACTGGGTAAAGTTTCTTCACCCCATTTTACCTCCAGGTTTCTGTATTTCTGAGTTGTACTGTCTGATTAACTCTGCTATGTTTATGCTGTCTCTTCATGTAAGCCTCTCCCAGCCATGTCACGTCTGTGGAACCTCCAAAGACTAATTGGTCATCAGGGAAACCCCTTGATAACCATTCAGGTTAAATATATATATTTTGGGGACCCCCAACAAATACAATTCCAACCAAAGCAAAGTAAAAATCTTCTCTTCTTGCCTACTTCTTCTCTTCGGCTGTCAGTACTTTGTATTTTCCCTCATTCATTTCCTGAATCGAGTTTTAATTTGAGCAGTGAGTTCTTCAGGGCAGGGGCCATGTCTTGACTGTATCTTTGTGCATAACAGACACAGCTTTGGAAAAGAGAAGGGTGTGAATACATCCAAAGGAAAGGTAGTAAACTTTCAAAATCTTGTTGATGTAATTTCCAAAGTGACCACTGTCTTTGAGGGACACTCAGACCTCTATCTGCCTGTGTCAATTAAGAAAATGTAACTTCAGGCATGACTGAGAATTTTACTGCAGTAAATTAAAATACATTTCTTTCTTCGGGTATTTTATTTTGAGTTAACTAAGAGTCACAGCTTTTCTTGTTATATGCAGCACAGACATCATCATGTTTTAGACTTCCCCTGAAAATGCAGAGCAGTGGGATCCATGTGAGATCCATCTTTGTTTTCAGAGAAGACAAATAACCTTCTGCAGCAGATGCCAGGCTTGAAAAGTGCTAATGTGATGGTCTGTCCTCAGGCCAAGTGAATGAAATCTTGAGTAGTGACTGTTTTCCTTTGTCCCACAGGCAGGCAAAGGGATTCTGCGGACCGTCATCGCCAACAACGAAGCGGTGGCAGATATGATTCCAGTAGACGTCGCCATCAACCTCACCCTTGCGGCTGGGTGGTACACTGCTGTGCACAGGTGGGAAGGCACTCCTCTTTGTGCCAGACTTGGGCATTTACTCCCTGACTTTGAAGGGAACCAGAAGCTCATTGAAAATCTGTGCAAGAGCCTGGTTGGTTCATTTTTCTGGTTCATGTTTTCTTCCTCTGGTTGGCAACAACTAAGAGAGCAGCAGCAGCAGTAAAGGCAAGTGCTAGAGTTACTAGCTACTGATGAGACAGTACAATGTAACCTCAGCTGGCAGGTCTCTCTCAGAAGTCACTTTTTTGAAGTCCAAGAGCTTTACTGAAGTTTTGCAACAGCTGTTTTTGGGGCCTCATTTCTCAGGCAGCTACACTGAGTTGGTTTTCAAGTGACTTCTAGAGTTTTTCTGGTGAAAATACCTGTGTGTTCTCCTTGGAAAACACTGCACAATATTAATATGTTATGGGCTCATATGATAGGGGAGGTGATCTAAAAAAAATCCCATTCTTTGCATTTTTGAGAAGGGTATGTATAAGTGACATTAAGGTTTTAAGATCTTTTCCTGTGAATGTCTGGCTCTGACCTTTAATCATTTTGGTAGGAAGTGCTGCAGAGTAAACCACATGAATTATTCTGGAGGTTTATGCAACTCTGAGAAATCAATTCCAGACAAATAAAAGGCAGAAATATTTTACTTTGAAAGACAGAGTAAGCCCTCTGAGCTGAGGGTAGAAAAGAGCTGCATAGAGTAATCTAAATACAGGGATCCTAAAAGGATCTTAAAGGCAGCTCACCAGCTAACCACGTTGTTAGCAATCTGTAAAAAAAGCCAACAAATCAAGAGCTTCAGTCTTCTGTAAATTTGATTTATCTGAAAAAATTTTGGGTTTAGGTGCTATCTTGAATAATAGCATGTATGGTTTATTTTTTTTCCCAAATAATTTAATTAGAAAGTTTCTCTTTCAGGGCAGGTGACATTACTGAGGGAAATTAGATTCTAAAACTTAGCAGAGAATTGCAATCTTCATTACATAGTGTAGAAGCTCTACAAAGCTCTACACCCTACCAAGGTCACCAAGTCATCTGGAGGGCGGAGAATGGAAAAATATCAACAGAGAAAGACTATTCACTCCCTAGAAGCTGGCAAAATGGAGAAATCTTCTTTATTGGTATTCAATGGGCCTGATCCACTAGAGTAAGTGGAAATCTGTGCTTTCACTTCAGTGCTCTTTGCAACAGGATGTCTGTGTGGGGCTCAGCACTAGGTGAATTTTCTATATGGGCACATATTAGGAATTTACTCCTTAGTGACTTTCTGTATTGATTTCCTTAATGTAGTTTCCCATATAAAGCACTACTGTGCATTTTTAACACTATGAGACTTCTACTCAGTAATTCAAAGTTACAGGAGATCATGGATGCAGAGCTTGATACATGTCTATTAGTCCTGATTATCCCTAGAAGTCTGCTAATAATGATAACGTACAGTCAAATGACAAGTTTTCAAAGTAATATTAAAAAAGTACCACTAAAACTGTGCAGTATCCAAATGCAGTTTTCAGGTATTACTGTGCAAGATTTCCTATCCCAGGTTTAGGGGTTCTGTCTCCTGGTCTCTTCAGTCACAGTAGTTTTTAAGGGCGGTTCCTCATAGGCAGCCTCCTCCAGTTGAGAAAGGGTCTGAAAACAGAGGCACCCTAGAAGCACTGAGATGTTGCATCCTCCAGCCAAGGAGGTTGCTATCCCCTATTCAAGATCACATCTCACTTCTTTCAGCATTTTGGCAGATGGCTCCAGCTGCCAGTGTAAAGTAAGAAAAATGCTGTATTGATGGCATTACTTGCACCCTTGGCAAGCCAGGCTTAGATCAAAAAAGCTGTTTGACTAATTCTTGCCTTATATCAAAGGAAGAAATAAAACCAGTATGATCTATGTTTAGTTCCACATGCAAATAACAACCAAGCTTTATTTGGTATTAAAATGAGAATTTTATTAAAATGGATTGATTTATAATTGCCACCCTCACAACTGAAATGTAAAAGTAATGCAAATCTTATCCATTAAGTAAATCATTGCAAAATACACAGTTTGCCCCTGAGGTTGGCTTGGGCCAATTATTTACAGTATACTAGGAGAAACCATTAAAAAAAATCAGAAATTTATCAGTTTGCATGCTTTCCTTATTGTTTTTGTAATTTTTGATATGTGACGTATGGATGACTTTTCTTAAACCCCATCTGTCTTTATTAAGTTCATATGCTTTCCAGAATCTGACTGAATGTTATTAAAACTTCATGTTTTCTGATACATTTCCATATTTATGAAAAACGACCTCTTATGCTTTTTTTTTAAATGAGCTGATGTTACTGTTTCTTGGGTTGTTAGCTTTCATGCTCCATTAATAAAGCTTTGGGTGCTTTTCTTCACACCTCAAAAATAATACTTCTTTCTCTTTTCCAGACCAAAAAACTTGTTGGTGTACAACTGCACAACAGGTGGAATCAACCCCTTCTTCTGGGGAGAAATGGGTAAGGTCTAATTTAAACCTAGAATGTGTCAAACATCTACAGCATTCCATCGACAGGCTTTGAAAAAGTGGTTTCCTACATTTAGGTGGCATTCAGCATCTGCCATTCAAACTGTGTGTGGAAGGCCCAGCTGCAGTCGATGAGGGTCCTGTGAGAAAAAGCTCCTGGTGCTGGCCATGCAGCTCAGGAAAGCATCTATTCAGTTTTCATTGTGGGCGTAATCACAGAGCAACCCAGCAAAGTACATGCTTTGCTGCACTGAGGTATCAATGTGGTGGGAAAAGGAATAGAGAACCAATCCCTTAATTCTATGAGAAGATGCTCTGCATAGCCATAACAGGACATCTCCCTTTTCTGATTGAGAATCTTTTCTGGGTTTGGGTTGGTTTTTTTTTTGTGCTTTGTAATCACTTGGAGAACCTTGATAGTGAGTGAAAACTAGTATATTAAGGAAGTAGAGTAGCCTTTATTCCTGTTTCTGTGCAGAAAATTCTGAGCGGAAATAATTGATGTAGGCTTGAGAAGGCAAACCTTGACGTGACAGATGTACTTGAAGAACAGTTTGCTTTTCATCATGAATTTTGTCAGTGGAAGAATTAAAATTATTTTCATGGCTGACTTATCTTCAAGTGATTGTGCTTCTGAGGTAGCGGTGAAATAAAGGGAGACAAGTTGTGACACACTTACAGTGGAAAACTCACACTGAAGCCAAGTAGCAGGATTCAGATCAGCTGTATCCTGTGAAATACTATACAGTCAGGGACTGATGTACAGGCCTGATTCACTTTCTGTTATACATTCATTCATATCTTTGTGCTTTAAATACAGGAGGCTGGCAAATCACTACTGTGGAACGTCACCTCTCAGCCTTTGCTTTGCGATTGTTTTTGCATTATTTAAGTGGCAAAAAGTAAGTCAGCAGAGAATCAGATCATTTCAGAATCAGAATCTGTGTTTTCAAAACAAGACATGTCTGCAAATCCTACCAATGTCCTACCATGAAATTTGATCCAGTGATCTAGCAGGAAAGAGGTTTCAGCAACTGGCGGAGCAGTGAGAAAACTACGCCAAGTTCCTGGCTTTTTTTATAAAAAACTTTTATATATATATGACAGACTTTCTCAACTCATTCATTACTTTCTCTGTCTACTCACTATTATTTGGTTTCTAGGCAGCCAGACTCATGGCATGCACTTGAACTTGATCCACCAGTTTCCTCCTTTGCAGTGGAGTAGCATCTGCTACTCAGGTTGTTACCTTCTCTTCTTGAAATCCCATTTCCAACTGTATTTGGCTCTGCTAACCTTCACCTTTCATGTTGAAATCCTTGAGGCCAAGTCTCTACCTCCTGTGGTTTTTCAGAATTTTTCCCTATCATGAAAGCAGCTGTTTGATGCAAAGACACGGGATCAGCAAAGGGAAAGAAGGTCCATTCAAGGAGTCCGGGGAGGCTGGACTGGAGCAGGGTCTGTAACCATTTGTCAAAGTGGAGGATTATGAGAGTGAGACTGGAAGCTGATGAGAAACAGGAGTGGGGAATGGGATTCATCTGGTGTGAAACAGAGTATTTAGGGGAAATCAAACATGGGGTTTGTAGAGAGGAGGGCCTGGACTATCTGGTTAGGGAGACGCACACCAGGACCAGCTGTAGGAATGACAGGTGAATGCAACAGAATAGGGATTTTTTTTCAGTAGCTCCTAGAGGTGATTTATCTCTGGTTCAGGTTTCTCTGCCTGCCTGACCCATCTGTCGGTCTGGTTCTTTCTCTCATACTCTCTCTCTCTCTCTCTCTCTTTCTCTGAAATAAGCATCAGAGACTTGCTACGCTTGTGAAGTTGAACACTTTCCAGAAATTAGGAGACAGCGCAATTGCGCTGAGTCAGTGCAGGCCAGGGTAAGGGAGGTTCGTAAAGAAAACGCCCATAGCATTAACTGTTCCAAGTTACGCAAAACTGGTGGTTTCCCAACTTCCTACCAGTAAGTCTTTCAGGTTGGTCTCACTGCCTTCATGTGTGCATTTTAAAACAAAACAGCTTTCACTCCTGACTTTCAGAGTTTTTCTTGAGTTTTCAGCAGAAATCTCATCTGCTCTTTACATAGATGCTTCTCACATCAAGTAATATCATGACATAATTCTGTAGCTCCTTTACTACAGCTGCCTTTTCCACTACAAGCCTTAAGTAACCAAGATGACAAATGTGGCTGATGTTTGTGAATTTGCTGTATAGCAGATGATCTGAAATGACAAGGGCTGCATTTTCTTTTCACTTACTGATTAGTTCTTTCTTGCTATCCTGGACAAAGATGCCAAAAATGCAAAGAGAAAAGAAAGGCAATAATGTCTTCAACATGTTTCCAAAGGGAAACTTTCTCAACCAGTTTACAGCTGAAAGGTAGATCTGCAGTATATTAGCATCAGGATTTGATCAAATATCAATATGTGCTGAAGACAATTTCAGAACTATCACAATTCCAAAATATCAGTGGTTCCCATTCAAGCTGATAGGTTTCTATTAGGAAATGAAGTCACTAAATGAAACTAAATGAGTTTAAATATTGATAAGCAGATGAAAGTTTGTAAATAAACTGGGATTTAAAGTGCCTCTTGGAGAAACATCCTTAAGAGGAGAAGCAGAAGAGTTAATGGGATTGCTGTCCTGTTCCATGAGCTACTTGAATGGGCACAGTTATACAGCTCTCCCAAACTGGGAGCAGATCTCTCAGAGCAGCCCCTCAAACTAGGGTTTTGTTGAAGTATAATTGTAGTAAATGACTGTGCTGCTAACATAGAGGAAAGAAACTCCTCATGCACTGCTTAGCCAGACATAAACTCTGCCAAGAGCTGGGCCAGGACAGCAGCTTCTTTCACATTAGCCCATCCCAAACTGCTTATCGCCACTCACCTGCCAGGAGTAAACACCTTTCCAAATCTTCAGTAAAACTGCTCCAGTGAGCCCTCCTTGCAAGGCACAGTTACATGGGAAAGTTTAAATAGGAGTTTTTTGCTAATCCTTGCCATTTTGAGAGACTGCTGCAAAGGAGAAGATTTCCATACCGCAGCCCACAAGATGCCCACAAGCTAACCACATCATTGCAGTGTGGCTACATGAAACAGAAGGGATGACAGTCAGTTTTAGCTACTCAGCCGCAACGATGAGTTTCAGGATAACTGGTCTTCAGCCATTAAACTTGCCGTGTATGAGACACAAAAATTAACAATGAACATGCACTAAAACTAAATTGTATTATTTTAAAACTCTTTGTTGTCTAAACTTAGCACCTAAGTGGCTAACAATTCTCCTTTAGTTGCTGTTACTTAGAACAAATACTGCAAAAATCACTACTTGAAATGCAGTAATGAGCCAAATGTACATACATGAGAGGACTGTCTGAACATTATGATGAGAATCTGCTTATCTAAGGATCATCTGGATGTTTCTTGTGACTTGCAAATTGTCATCTGATTTTCTATTTGTAACAAAAGCTTAGAGAGTAAACTATAATATGAGCACAGATTGATGTCATAACTCTCAAATTCATTTTTAAAAAAGAAAAAAAAGCCCACATATTCTTCTTTGCTGAGCTCACTGGTGCTCAGGAATAGGCACACCATCTGTTTATCAGACCCTAGGATGATAAGCTTATATTCAACTACTAAAGTTCTATTAAGCCTCTGCACTATGCAAATACTCTAGAGATGCACATCTAGATGCCACTTCCATGGCACTGTGCCATTGCAAGAACTCAGAATTAGGCCCAAAATATTCTGTGCATTAACATACAAAGGGAATGAAAGATTACCACCCTGACATTAGTTTTCAAGTTAAGAATGCGAGACAATTTGCAGCTTTAGTACATCCAGAGCTTCTCTGGAAACAAGCTGAGGTATTTGGTGTTGTGGGTCATATGTAGTTTGAAGGGATATATTAAAGTATTTGTAGAAGCAACATCCTATGTATGTAAGCAATCTATCCCTGACTCAGACTAATATTGACATTAGTCCTTTCAGAAATTTGATTAGAAATTAGAAATGTCATTTTTGTTTTACGCTAGCAGATTGAAGTTTGCTTTCAGTGATCTGAAGAGATGTCAACACATCAATTTCTTCGACATTTACTGCAGGTGAAAGCAGAACTGCAGTTCCTTGTTTTGAAGCATTTAAGGCCACAACTGTCTGCTTTTCTTGCATTACATTTTGGCATTTTAATAAGAAAGTCTATGTCTGCCGCTACTGATTCTGGAGTCAGATTATGTTTCAAATAAGCAATAGATGGAGTCATCACTTTTAACGCCAGAAGGACCATGAGATGATCTTGTCCAACCCCCTAGTGACATAATTTGCGGAACTGTAGGTTAAACATCTTAAGCACCATAATGGGTTTTACTGCAACATGTTGGTGTGGTTGTGCCAACTCAACTGAAATTAAGTGCCTGATCTTAAGTAAAATGCCTGTTCCCTTACAGAGCAGTATGTCATGTCCACGTTCAAAAGGAACCCACTGGAGCAGGCTTTCCGAACACCCAACGCTCACTTGACATCCAACTACTTGATAAACCAGTACTGGATAACGGTCAGTCACAAGGTACCAGCCATACTCTACGATCTGTACATGAGGCTCACAGGGAGAAAACCCAGGTAAGAAACTATATGCCTTCAGCTTTCTGCACGCCTGCCACTGTTATGGAGAGCTGATTTCTAAGAATTTCTGAGAAACGGCTGCCTCAGCCTGGAGTCCCTGGTCTTCTTCCCATCTCCAGGCCTTGCCTTGAGATTGCTTAAGAAGGAAAGGGACCACATGGCTGTAGCTAAGCACAGCCAAGGCTTCTCACCCTTTCCAGCACCTGGGGGACAGTCCATATTTTAAACTCAGCTTTACAAGCTTCAGTGGTTCCCAAGCCAGCAAAAGAGGACTGCTAGTTATGTTGTCCTCTATATAGAAAGATTCCACCATTTCAACACTTTTAAGTCATTGCCTCGATTTGTCATAAGTAAAGACCCAAGCTTGCATAAGGACTTGCAACTGGCAATGTTTAGAACATTCTGATTCTGCATAATTAGCAGTTGCCAGCACTGGCCCAGTATGCTGAAATCTAGGACACTTCTGAGTATGAATAAATTCTGAATTGTATTTATGAGGACAGTTTACCATTACAATTGGTATTTGAGTCTTGGCAGCTTGGAGGAACACAGGCACATATGTCCCATGTGGAAGGAATTCCTGTGTAAATAATATAACTCAGCCAACATCCTCCTTTACTCCCTGCCACCACAGAGGAGAATTTAGTGTGCAACACAAGAACAGTATGCCAGCACTGTGTTCCACGTCAGCTGCTCTGTGCTCCTCTGCTTGTGAGAAAGCTGGCTTCAGCTGTCTGCAGGGAGATCCCTGCCTGATATATCACTCTGATTTCTCTCAGACATTCTGCTGTAGAGGGAAATTGGTCCATAAAAAGACTTCCAGTTGTCCAGGAGGCAAGAATTACCCTAGAGGTTGAGATAAACTGAATTAATATGAGCAAGAATAGGCTGGAATCGCCAAACTTTGCTGAAAGAGGCAGCAGTAAGATCTTAACATTGCCATTACAACTTACATTTCTTTTCATAAGGTTGATTGGCACAGATAGCCAATAGACATCAGCTGCAATACTGTACATAAATTTCAAATAGAGCTCAGCATGAATTCATGTTGAGAAAGGTCTGCTCAGCATGAATTTGTGTTGAGAAAGATCTCTTCTTCTGAACTTTCAGATCTATGACCTGAGCAAACACAGCACAGCAATGGAATTGTGAGCTTACAGAGTCCTTTTTTTTTCATTATTTTCTTTTAAAATATAATTCCCCTAATCTTTTTACAAGCTACTTAAGCTCATTCAGGTACTGCTGCAATGTGCTAGACAGTATAGTAGCAGTTCATTCTTTCTTTTGTTTACAGCTACCTAAATATCAGGCCTTTATGCTCTAAGGACAGTAAACCACATTCAAATGAAAAAAAGTTGAATGTGTCACTGAACCTGCTTTAATGTTTTCCTTTAATTTTTCCCTCCTCTGTAAACAAAGTGCATAGGCATAACTGTCTTCCCACTTGTCACTCCCACCCATTGAAGTACAAGCCATTTCATGGCAGTTTCTTGAAGTCTTTTCATGTCCTTACACCAGATTTGCAAGCAGAAAGCAGAAACTTCTTTGCCAGGGCCAAGATTCAGGGTTCAGTTCTCTACTGTATCCATACTCAACTCATCATAAGGTGATGGGTTATATGCAGTAGGTTATCTGGGAGCTGCTTTTTTTTTTTTTTTCCCGCAATTCTACTGTTTATTCAGGACCAGACTGTGCCCTTCACTAATTTGAACTGCAGGGTACTTGAGGGGAGCTCAGTTGTAGTTCCTCCTGTAGTTATCACACGCAGTATCCCATCTACCAAAGGGTCGATACAAGAGTCATCTCCTTCAGCTTTAGACCATTATATATTGCCTCTTCTGAGAAGCTTACTTAAGTGTTAGCTCATTTCACATAAACTGTGAGGTGTCTAGCAAAACTGCTCTAAATGGCTTACTGTTATTGCTGCACATCCATCCATGACTTAAAAAATAATGTGTTTTATATCATTACTAGTCTCTTGGGGCAATCTGTCACACCTGAGAATCTGCTCATGCAAGGCTCAGTATGGCAGCAAATAAATAAATCATTGCTGTAAACAGTTTTCTGGAAGTCAAGATGCATTTCTGAAGTGTAACTAATAAGGCTATCGGTGACAGTTAATATTTGCTTTTTCCTCTCACTTCCTTCACAGTGGAGAATGAGATTTTCTGTAAGAAAAATCTTTGCACAGTCTCTCAGAGGCTGCAGAAAAGCACATTTCTACTTGGTTTATGTTTTTCAATGGACCATTCCTTCATCCAAATTAATACATATTTTGAATGTGGTCACAACATTTGAGCTCAATCAGTCAGCATAAAACACAGTTTTTATAAGTACCCCTTTTAGCTACTTTATTTCTCTTTTTGACTCTCACTTTAGCCACTCAGAAATGTTGCTTTGGGTAGATCTACAATCAGAATTTTTTTTCTGCCTACATTGACAGGAGGCCACGTGGATAGCCTATTTTGAAATCATCAGTAGAGACATACAGTTGATTCTCTTATTTTATTTTATTTTTTTAAAGATTCCATTAACCCTAAGCACTTTAAAGATACTGATGGCTTTTGGGGAGCCGGTTTGAGGGGCAACTTCATATCTTTGCAATCTAGCCATATACTTTGCTTTCCAAGTTCCTAAAAGGTATTAAAATACTGACAAAGCTTTGCCCCATAGCCCCTGCCTACACAGGCACAATCAGGAAGATTAATCTGAAGCAATTTTTAAGTAGTTTAGATAAACTGCATTCAATCAATGTGAACATAATTATTCAGAATAAAGGTTCCCTTAATCTGATGGTGTGCTTTCCTTCCAAAATGAAAGCCACTTTAATTCTGAGTAGGAGTGCCTATGTAAGGTTTCTAGTGCTCTTTCAATTTGCTTTGGGTAAGCTGTGCAGTTCTCCTCTGAACTGATGTACTCATTGTGTCTTTTTCTGCTGTGCTTAGTGCTTATCGTTGTGGCAGTCACATCTGCACGGGGAGAGGCCAGCCTGGCACTATTCTTCCCCAGACTGCCGCCTTTTATTTGTCACAGTGACTGTGTTACCCTCTGGGCAGCTCAAAATTTCTAATGAAAACAGCTCTGTTTTCCACAGAAATCATCCTTTTAATGCTTTCTCTTGCCTATATCCAGTCTGAGAGAACGTGATGTTCTCTCAAAATTGACCAAGCACTGTACATCCCACTTTAAAACAACTGCCTCCCAGAGGTCTTTTGTACTCATGACCATTGGGGCAACTGTAAAATAATCCTGCAAGGTAGGGCAGCATAGTTGTCATCCCCCTTATTATATAAAATGAATAATAAAAAAAAGGACAAGATGCATGAGAGACCTGAACCTATGCTTCCAAAGTCCCTATTAAGCAGCCGTGTCTCTGAAGCAGCTTTCATCTTTACTGGGACACTCACACTCCAGGAAGACGTTCAAACAGTTCCTTGCTCCCTCAAAAAAAAAAAAAGCCTATGGACTTAGATGATTTTCAAGGTCATCCACCAGGAATGCAATGCTATCAGACCCTTCCTGTATAAGAAAGGACACAAAAAACACCCCAGTCTGCCAGTATATTATACAGTGAGAGGAACAGCCTGTAAGAAAAACAATTTTATTTTTCTTTAGAGAGAGTTCAAAGCAGCCCAAAGATATTAAAAGCATACCACCAAGCTGAGTGGTGTCGCTGATACTCTAAAGGGAAGGGATGCCGTCCAGAAGGACCTTGACAGGCTAGAGAGATGGGCACATGCAAACCTTGTAAAGTTCAACAAGGCCAAGTGCAAGGTCCTGCATTTGGGTCAAGGCAATTCTAAACATGGATACAGGCTGTGTAATGAGTAGATTGTGAGCAGCCCTGCTGAGTAGGACTTGGTGTTGGTAGATGAAAAACTGAGTATAAGCTGGCAATGTGTGCTTGCAGCCCAGAAAGCCAACTGTATCCTGGGCACGCAAGAAGTGTGATGAGCGGGTTGAAGGAGGTGATTCTTCCCTTCTGCTTCACTCTGCTGAGGCCCTACCTGGAGTATTGCGTTGAGTTCTGGGAGCCCCTAGTGTAAGAAAGACATGGTCCTGCTTGAACAGGTCCAGAGGAGGGCCACAAAAGTCATCAGGGGGCTGGAGCACCTCTCCTGTGAGGACAAGCTGAGGGTTGAGGTTGTTTAGCTTGGAGAAGGCTCCAGGGCGATGTTATAAGTAGCCTTCAAGTATTTAAAGTGGGGCTTACAGAAAAGATGAGGAGGAACTCTTTATCAAGGGGCATAGTGATAGGACAAGAAGTAACAGTTTTAAAATTAAAGAGGGTAGATTTAGATTAGCTATTAGAAAGAAATTCTTTCTAAGAGGAAGAGTGAGGATGGTGAGACACCATTATTCCTAATAATGAGGGTGGTGAGACACCGGAATGGATTGCACAGAGGAGCTGTGGATGCCACCTCCCTGGAAGTGTTCAAGGCCAGGTTAGATGGGACTTTGAGCAACCTGGTCGAGTGAAAGATGCTCCTGTCCATGGCAGGGTGGGTGGAACTAGTTAACTTTTAAGGTCCCATCTAACCTAAACTATTCTATAGTTCTGTCTGAAAACTGAAGTTGAGCAATTGGCTTCAGAGCTTGTCCGTGCTACAGATGCAGTCACCTCTGTACTGGAGAAAACTCCAAAAATCAGAGCCTTGTTTTGGGCAACAACTCAGGCTTAAGAACAAAAGTGTGTTTGTATGGTAGAAAGGTAAGTATCCACCTTGAGAGGCAAGCAATACACCTTGGTGGTTTGTCAATTTGCTGTGCAGACTTGATACTAGCTCACATGGGCCCTTCACCTCATGTGGTTCATGATATAGATATGGCTTCCAACCCTTGTTGGCCAGTAAATTAGGCATCAGTCCTGCTCTGGGAAATGCATATTTGCACCAGTGTTCCAGCCAACAATAAAAGCTGGGTAGCTGTAAGCTTAATACTCAGCTGAAACAGTTAGACTTGCTGAGTGGGTTTTCAGCCTGGAGAGCAGCAGTGCAGTGCCCATCAGAAACTGCAATGCCCATTCATCTGGATTGGTGAAAACACCTACAGAGCAAACCAACAGCTTTTGCATAAGATCAAACTTCCTAACCATCTCTGACATTCCTCCTCTGTTTCAGAATGATGAAGATTATCAATCGACTGCACAAGTCTATGATGCTCCTGCAATATTTCTCCACCCAGTCCTGGGATTGGTCTTCAGATAATATGAATATGTTAATGAGTCACCTTAACACAGAAGATAAAAAGGTGAGTATGCCCTGCATTGCTAAACTCCAGTTCTGTTCATCTGCTATTATTTTTGGTGTACTGTTGAGTTTGTAAGTGACATCTGCCTAGATGACTAGAATTGACTTTAACTTGAAATAATTTCCTCCTTGTTTTCTTAAATAACTTATCACGAACCTTTCATTTATTATAGGAGAATGTTTTCTCCTGAGGTGTACTGCTCTTTCTTCTGAGACAGGTCAATTACCGCAGTTAATGTGGCAGCTGTCTACTTTTTACTCAGGTTTCTATGTGGCCTGTAAACAATCTAGATTTGTTTCCACAGACAAAATGGACTGTACAAAGGGAACATAACTTTATATCCTCAGTGACCCACCTGTACTCAGCCCTCTGAGCTGGAGAAGTTAAAGACATCATACATAACAATGGCTGCTTTACAACCTCCCATTTGGTTGGCTACATAGACTGGAATAGGATAGGAAAGCAAAGGGCATTCATTTTTTGATGAACACATGATATTTCTCTTTCTAAGAACAAAAGGCCAATTCTAGTTTTCACATCACAGCTCTGGGCCCTGAGAATTTCAGATATCCTCTTTCATGGGTTGATATGACCATGTTAACTAATGTACTGTCCAGGGTCTCTAGAAATACAGTATCAATGGTAATGCAAAGACATGTGTTATGGGGAGTTTCATTGCAATTAATTAATCACTGAAAAACTGTGTAGCATTCCCAATATCTTTTCATCCTAACCTTCTAAGTGTCATGCTCTTGGAAAACTAGGGAGCTCCTTTAAAGCAACACTTTCTCCCTCATCTCTTTTGGCAGTCTGTAGCTTTTGGTGGGTAATCTAGATGGGAATTACTTGAAAGATTTTGACATTTTAATCCACATTGGTTTTAATGGGCACTGCACAGGGAAACTTCCTTTGTTAGCACATAGTGTCTTACCCTGAACAATAGGAAAGAAGTTTCCCTTTTATAAGTCCCCAGAGAGCAATTACTTTGCAGGATGTCAAGCTCTGCTGTAGTCTTTCTGGGTTTGAAATACTACTCCTTAAGAATGGGATTGTAACTGAAAGACTGAAGGAATACAAAGAGTAGATCTGTGATAAGCTTGAATGCACTTTGGGTCAGTATCTCCTTGCAAAGAGATGCTTAAGAATTCACATCAAACTGATCTCACTCACATCATTACATTCTTGCACAGACTCCCAGCAGCAGAATCCAGAGTTTCTCTTCCCTAGTCTGCACAGGAAAATCACGCAGCAAATTCTGACTTCTACAGGCAGTGGCACTGCTGTGACTACAGCAGATGTAGAGGGAACCTAAATGGTGTGATGGGAGCTAGTTTTGAGGCAGATAAAAAAATATTACAGCATCAAGGACTTACTGCAAGCTAGACAGAGTTTCCAAGCTGCTTATGAGATTTTATTTTTTTATATCAAACAGAGTAACCTATTTCTTGGACTTCTGTCAATCTAGACAGAGAGAATGCAGCACAACACAGAATACTACTGATGCAGTGATGCCTGTTGACTCAATGTCCATTTCATTTATTTACATATAATTCTAGTGACACATTAAAAACTGCATGGAGGTTTTCAGATTAATCCATTTACCTGAGCAGAATGCCATTTTTCTTCAACAGCTCTGTGTGTGTACAAATACATGTATTTATGCACAAACAGCTGCCCGAAAGACAAACTTGCTTTGTTTTCTGCCAGCCAGCACAATTCTGCTTGCTTTGTCCAAATTTCCAGCTGGGTAAAACATTAATTAATAGCTGTGAAATATAGTCTGCTAATGCCCATGTCTTCTTGGAAACTTGGTGGCTTTAACAACTTCAGAGAGAGGGCCTTGTTAGGAATGGAGGTCAACAAAGAACTGATGCTTAAAGTGAAATTGTTTTGGACTCTGGCATTTAACTTCTGCTCTTTGTCTTTAAATCCCAGTTATACAACTTTGATGTTCGTCAGCTGCACTGGTCAGAATACATTGAAAGCTACTGCCTAGGTGCTAAGAAGTACTTGCTAAATGAGGACATGGCTGGCATTCCAGCAGCAAAGCAACACTTAAGAAAGTAAGTTATACCCAGTGACAAGAGCTTCTGGGTACGTTGACTGGCTTTTCACAGAATCACAGAACGTTAGGGATTAGAAGGGATCTCAAAAGATCATCTGGTCCAATCCCCCTGCCGGAGCAGGAACACCTAGATGAGGTTACACAGGAAGGCGTCCAGGCGGGTTTTGAATGTCTCCAGAGAAGGAGACTCCACAAGCTCTCTGGGCAGCCTGGTCCAGTGCTCTGTCACCCTCACTGAGAAGAAGTTTCTTCTCAAATTTAAGTAGAACCTCCTGTGTTCCAGTTTGTGTCCGTTACCCCTTGTCTTATCATTGTTTGAAAATTAATCTATTTACATTACAATAATTGTTGTTGAATAATATGGAAATCTACACAGCATAGCTTATTTCTTAGGGCAAAGAGTTGTCAGTATTTCACTTTTCCAGCCTGTAAGAAAAAGAGGACTTCTGATGATACTAATGATCTGTGGCTAGATCTGGTCAGATTTTAATTTTGGGAAGTTTCTAGAAATTTTTAGCAATTCAAAGACATTGCATAAAAACTTTTAAGCATTTGTGTTATTTTAAATTTAATTTTAAAGTTGAAGTTTCTAATTCCTTGGAGGGAGTGGGCAGAAGTTCTCCAGAATTTGTGGAGAACTTGTGCATCCAATCCTTGGTGACAGTTTAAGAGATTCTGAATGAGCAGTTTGAGATTTACCTTCTCCTATTCAGTTAAGGATTATGCTCTCCCTGTCTTTTCCAGCCCTTTTACTGAAAAGTGCAGGCAAAAGGAGAAAGAGCAGCTTTCTTGGAGTAAGAGCCTGGTAGTTTCCTTTAAGAAAACCATTCTTGTGCGCTGTGAACACTGGAAGCAAAAAACAGCCTGTTACCATAGCAAGAAATCCTAAAGAAGTTGTTTGTTCATAGGTCATTTTTAAAGGTTTTATAAGAACCTCTGTAACAGGCCAGTAACTGACTCAGCCCAAACAGGCAGTGCAATACAGTGCAGTGATAAAGCTTAAAACAACAAACAACAACAACAACAAAAAAAAACCCCACACACAACAAAAAACCCACGAACAAACAAAGGTCTCTCAGAAAAATTTAATCAGTCCTGTGCGCGTTAGGTATGAAGCTTTCTTCATTTGGTCAGACACTGGAGAAGTGAAAATTAGAGAAAAGCATAAGTTTTTGCTTGACAGAAAGAGGACAAGATGATCAACATCTTAAAGATGTAATAATGCCATTTAAATATATGGTGTTAAAAAAACCCCAAAAAACAAAACAACCCCAAAACCCCAGTGCTGCAGTACTGCAAAAGTAAAGGCCATTTATGGTTACTGGGTACATTTTGCAACATTAAAGGCAAGGTTTCAACCAAAAAGGAGAACCTTATTCATCAGCTTCTGCAAAGGTCCTCCAGCCTGTCACTAATCCCACTGAATAAAAAATATCCAATTTACCAAATCAAAGCAGAAAGTATTGGACCTAGACAATCATTAAGAAAACAACTCTTGGCATGACTTCAGTGTCTATTCTGGTCTGAAATGAGAGTACATGGAACAAAAGACATTTGCAATATGGGTATTCCATCTATGCCATTAACTATTCACTGTACCATAACTTCAGTACAGTCCTTGGCAAGATGGTAGGGACACGTTAGGCACAGTGTCTTCACCAAAACAGTAATGGCAAAAAGCCCAAGGCCACTTGTAAACAGGATTTCTTACAAAATTACCTGTAGCAGATGAAGAAAGCTGCTAAGCTTTTTGTTGTTTTGGTCTTCCTCCATAAGATGCCTCTT